TGTGACATTAATTTCTTGATGACCTAATACATTTTTATACTAAGATTGCTATGAATTATGTATTATCATGCAGTGATATTATTCTGAATACAGAGGGTTGAGCATGTTATGTTAAACAATTTTGGAGCTCCACCACATCATTGCTGTCCATGTCATCTTCTGTGATCATTTTTAGTCTGACAACTGTGCATCTTGACAATAGCCATGCAGCATAGTTGCTATTGCAAAAGGCTCCACCATAAGAATGTCATTCTTCTTTGAAGCTCCTTAAGGCACACATGGAGAAAGGAAAAGAAATTTGTTGGAACTCTTGATAATTGCTACATCCACTTTTTACACATGGAGTTGTCACTTTTCAGGCAATTTTACTAAGTTGACCTAAATACTTATAACCAATAGAAAGACCACATTTTTAAACATGATCTCCAAATAGTTATTTTTTAATACAACGGGATAAAAGTGAAGAGGACTTATGATTACGATAAAAGGTATGATCAAGTTTTGGGTCTTTACTTGCAGACAAATTGTGATGGGAAAGGTTTATTTTCAAACTGGAAGTAACCTGTTTTCATACACTTTGATTGTAAGTTGATACATGAAAATTTGAAATTGGTAATAATAGAACTTAGTTCTGCTGATTATTTTGTTATGGCCTGTGTATCTGATGTTAGATGAGGTAATGTTCATATTTGTAGATAAGCCTTGGTTTCCTAATCCAGTATACACACCCAAAAATGCATATCTTTGCTGACACCCAACATTTTCTTAAGCTTATTCAAAATTGGTTGTTAGATGCTGTTATGGTTTGTCAGATACAAACCCAAATGATAAAACCCTATTAATCACCCTCTTGGTTCTTGATGCCCATGAACTCAGATTATATCATAAACTAAAACTAATGCACTTACATTGTGAAGAACCACATATACAAAATGTTTTTAGTAGTACAATCCCATCTCACACAAGAACAATAGCATTGAACCTTTATAAACCAGAAGATAACCCAGAAGCTACCATCATACTGGATATGGTCTATTATGAAGATGAACAAAACCTTATATTGGACAGAATGTATGAAACAATGAAGAAGAACCTACAACAGTTTAGGAAGGAGTTACTGCTATCGATCTGTTTTGTTAAAAGGTACCTGAATGACATACATCCTAACCCTCCATATTAACCAAGACAGTATATAAAATTTATTTTCTCAAATTCATACCAGGTGAAAAATTGAATGACTACCCTTCTCTGTTAAATGCTCTTAACAGACTGAGGATGTTCATGATGGGGAACAAAGTGTGATATTGTTCAAATGTACATCAGTATCTTAACTCCTAATTTATCTAGTGATGAATATATGGATCCTAACATGTTTTGTCTGACAGGAGTTAAGACAATGCCATCTTTGCAAGGAGAGGCCACAGATGAAGGAACATTGCTTGATGAAAGTGAGGTGTTCCTACACAGTGATAAAAATGCCCTATGTGATAATACAGATTGAAAAATTATTTTAACATAGGAAGAT